TGTAACCTGTCTAGGTCTGATTGCAGCCTATTCCTCCCTTCTAGTGTGCCCACATCCCCCCACATCTTAGTGTCATCAGCAAATTTGAACAGCGTGCTTTTTACCCCCTTGTCCAAGTCACTGATGAAGATGTTGAACAGTGCGGGCCCGAGGACTGAGCCCTGGGGAACCCCACTGCCTACATCCCTCCAGGTCAAAAATGACCCGTCCACTACCACTCTCTGGGTGTGGCCCTCCAGCCAGTTGGCGACCCATTTGACTGTGTAGGTGTCGACACCACATCCCCCAGTTTCTTCATGAGAATGGGGTGAGAGACAGTGTCAAAGGCCTTCCAAAAGTCCAGGAAGACTAAGTCCACTGCTACCCTTTCACCTAAGGATTTGGTGACCTGGTCGTAGAAGGTTACCAGGTTGGTTTGACAGGACCTGCCTCTAATGAACCCGTGTTGGTTGCCCCTAAGCATAATCTCCCCTGCTGGCCCCTCGTTTAAATATTAAACTTAAAATTAAATTTCTATTATTCCAGTCCTCAAATCATCCACCTTTTCCTGTATGATATGCCAGGCCTTCTTTGTACTGACAATGTCTTCCAACTTCAGGCCAACACCAAATTTCATAAACATATTCTTTTTTTTGTACCAAATTACTTAATGCAAATGTTGAATAAGATTGGTCTCAAGACCAATTGCTGAGACACTCTACAAGCAACTTCCCTCCTTTCTGTACAACCTGTTGTCATCTCCCCTTTAGCTAGCTTCTGTCCCATCTTACATTTATTGTATAGATCATCTTCTCCATTTTAGCTACAAATTTTCACGTGCCATGGTATCAGAATGAAAGAAAGCAAAAGAAGGAAGATGATGGGGAAAGTCTTTGTTTCTTCTTCAAATACAGATCAGATTTAGCATGTTTCTCTAGTCTAGAAAATAATTTATCTTGTCAAAGAAAGAAATCGGGCAAGTCTGGCATGCTGGTTTGCTTTTTGCTTCACCTCAGAGGTGTTCATTTTAATTTCTATAAACTTATTCCCATAAGCCATTCCCACAACCCTTCTCCTCATGTTCTGCATCACTGTCCTGGTAGAAAAATGAAGCAAAGTATTAATTTATATTTTGGTCCACACCTAGGTTTCCTTTTATCTCAATGCCATCCTCCCTACATAGCAGACCTTTTCTTTTTCATTTATTAACCTGTCTCTGTTTTTAGACCTCTCCATAGTTATTCTACCATTCTCAGGCCTCATTTTACAGGCATACCAATGGAATAACAATGATTTTTGTTTTCTATTTCTTCAAGAACTTGCCTTGGTTCATTCCACAGGAAATTAGATTAGATATTTCTTAAACCTTAATAGCACTGTGGTTCCCTTTCTTTCATGTCCTAGGTCTTATGTAAGATCAGTATCTGAGGAGGCAAATGTCATGAGATCTCTTATTCTTCTGCCAAGTGCTTTATAAGTCTATTTTTAAAAAGTGTGGAACGCAATTTTTGGAGCAGCTCTTTCCTGACTGTAATGATGTCACTACTGTCATAACTTACCTTAGCCTCTCTATTATTTCTATCGGCCATACATCTGAACATGGCTACGAGCCACATTAAAGCAGGAAACTATGAGTAAGTTCCATATGGGGAGAACAAAGGGATAAAGCTTTGCACTCTAGCTGCTTATGTAATGGTGCCGGCCATTACATTAGTCCTGCTGGAGAACAGGCAGCCACGTATGATCCCTTGAAAAATGGTTCCCCTGCCATGCTGTGAAAGTGATAAATGGGATCTGCAGGGGCTGGTGAGAGCTAAGAATTCGGAGTGCCTTGCTATGCTTGCCTCCTCCTGTCAATTAAAGGAATGGGACTACATTTGGTTTTGATGGAGGCTAGAAGCCTGGGGTAGGTCAAAGGTGGAATCTCTGGGGAAAGGAGTCAGAGAATTGATATGCAGGGGAAAATGTTCATCTTCCTGGCCAGTGAGATCAGACACACTGCAATGGCAGGCTGGAAGACCTTGCTAGCTCAAACAAAAGGCAAGCAAACACGATTGCAGACAGCTTCTGCAAATGGCAAAACTGACAGTTAGGAAAGCTGCAACAAATCTCTCACAAAATGGCTAACAGTTAAATGGGGTCAAACAGGATTGAAAAATCAAAAGATCTAATACACTTGTTATATATGTATATATGCATTTATTAAATTAATATGTAATATATAGCTACTGAACAAATGGTATGTAAAGGCTGTGATTTTAAGAATTGTTTTTTTAAGACAGGGCTTGCAGAATTAAGTACTGAATATAAGAAGAAGGAGACAGATAGCAGCAGCAGCAGCAGCAGCAACAATAACTTCTAGATATATGGCAGTGTAACTGCATTAAAAAAACCTGAACACATTCCAAAAGCTGTCCTTAGGCTCTCTGTCTCAGGTGTGTTTAATGGCATCTGCCCAGGCTTTCTCTTAGGTGGCTATGCATCTGCATCTCTGGAAGATAAGGAGGCAAATGGGCAGGACATGCTTCAGAGCAGTGCTCCTGGTAACAGCATAAAAGGAACATACACCAGCCCTTACTGTTTGGTTTTACAGGGCCTCGCATGATGGGCACACGAGCCTTGGTCAGGCCTTTTGTAATAAAAATAATACAACCTATTTACTTTGCTTGTCATCTGGTGAATAGAGAGAGGGTTTGAGAGTTGTGTTCTTTTATTTACTTCCTGCTCTGGATTAATCAGATATTTATTATTGTTCAGTTATTACTCTGTATTCATCTGTGCTAAGGCACCCAGAGATTTTCAAACAATGGCAGAGAGAAATAACATAATATTATTAAGCTAAGTTCTTGATATGAGGAGCAACAGAAAGGTTCTTACCTGAACCATCAAGAAACATTTATGAAGGCTGAGATATTTCAAAAGGACTTGGCACATTGAATATCTGTTCTAAAAATCCATTTAATGTTTTGGTCAGATAAAGAATCAAAGAAAGAAAAGATGGCTCTTATTGTATTTCTTTAATGTTGATATAACCCTAGGTTTGTCCAGTGAAACACTATTAAACTTTAACAAGATATCAGGTAACTAAGGTGGAATAGACTGAGACGGGGATTTAATTAATGATGATTAATTTATGTTTTTATGGTGATAAAGGTAAATATCTTTGTAAAAAAAAAAAAAGCATAATGAAATCCCACGATGATTGGCTGACAGTTAGTGAATCACTCAGTTCTTCAAGTCCATCCTTCCTGTACAATTAACAATCAACAAAGAGGCAGCTAAAGAGGAAGAATGAATTGTTCACCCCTTAGCATAGATATGATAAGGCTTTTGTCTCCAAAGCTTGGGTCTTTGGACTGAACCTATGTGTGGTGGGATAGTCACAAAGGGAGGGATTCCATATATTAGACCAAAACCATTACAAGTTTGCTCAGGAGGAAAGCATTTTGACTAGCATTTAAAATGGGATATAGTGAGCTTTGGAAAGAAAAGGAGGCCAAAAAGAACATAAAAGGAAAGTAAGGCTGGAGGAGGACAGACTGTGATATAATAAAACCTATAACAGCAT